AATACTCTGTTTAGCTTTTGGAAGGTAACTTTCGCTATCCAAATGTGCCTTCGGATTTCAGTGTCGCACTTTCCGCCCTGTGAATATTTAGAACAAAAAGCAAACAGTTGAAAATACTGTGATGCCTAATAAGAGAAGAAATCCGGGAGAATTTGACGCACAGATGAAAGACTGAAGTGAAGAAAAGCAGGGAATTCGTTTACCCTAAATTAGTTTATAAAATGGATGACAGAACAGAGACAATCAGGGGGAGAATTACACAGATTTACAAAAATGCGTGAGTTGTGGAAAGATATGATCACCCACATCCTGAAGGGACAAGATATGAAAAAAGAAGAATTTTTCAAAATTAATCAGTAACTGAGGTTAGTATTTTCTGCAAATTTTAATCTTCCATTAGTTTTTTCTAATTTTGTTATTGGAGGAAAAGACCGACTGACCTATATGAACAGTTTCCGCAAATGGATGAAATACTAAAACAGAACTGAAAGATGAAGTAGCAAATATTGCTTAGAACAACAAAGATAGGAAGCTGTGATTTGAAAGGACGTACAACATAAAAGGTTGGAGGTTTATTTATTTATTGAGGCCACATTCTGAGAACATAACGATAGCAAGGAACAATAAAAATGAGGTCATTGTAAATAATAAAAATGGCGATCAAACATTCTGCTTTGAAATCTCGCGAATTCTCGATTATAGCAAAAATGCAATAACTTTTTACGGGACAAAAAGAAGCGAAAATGAATGAAAGTTTTTAATGAGTCTTCATTAAAAAATCTGATAGTAAGCGACAGGATCGGACGCAAAGCAGTAAGGAGCTGATTAATAACTTGATGTGTATATATATATATATATATATATATATATATATATATATATATATATATATATATATAACTCTAAATAAATATAATCCTTTTTCCAAAAGAGAACAATCTAAAAATCGATGAAAACATTTCTTAAAATGCAGACTCGAAACCAAACTTCTTTTTCTTCAATGTGCTGTGTGCCTTCCGGAAGTTTGCGATCATGTCTCTCCACAACTTCCTAACCTTTGTATCTCTTAAAAACTTTTGTCTTTTTAACATCTCTCCCGAAACCTGTTCCGCCATCATTTCAGTGAAGCTCTCTATGTTAGTTATACTTTGTTTTAATTTCACTCTTTTCGAGGAGCTTGTCCAGAATTTACTGAAATATACGAGATTAGATATTACATAGCCGCCCAACACTCTTTTCGTTGTTTCTAAGGATACACGTCAGTAGCACGTCTCTTTTGCTTCACGTCTCTTCTTCATCTGTGAGGAGATTGTCCAGCATTCACTGCCATTTTGGAGATTAGATATTACATGGCTGTCCAACAATTTTTTCTTTTTGTTTCTAAGGACACTCGTCAGTAGAACCACATCTCTATCGCTTCAAGTCTCTTCTTCATCTATGAGGAGATTATCCAGCATTCACTGCCATATAGGAGATTAGATATTACATAGCCGTCCAACACTCTTTTCTTTTTTTCTAAGGACACTCGTCAGTAGAACCACATCTCTATCGCTTCAAGTCTCTTCTTCATCTATGAGGAGATTATCCAGCATTCACTGCCATATAGGAGATTAGATATTACATAGCCGTCCAACTTTTTTTTTTTTTTTTCTAAGGACAGTCTCTTCTTCTCGTCAGTAGAACCACATCTCTATCTAAGGAAACTTCAGAATTTTTTCTCTTCATCTATCTAGGAGATTATCCAGCATTCACTGCCATATAGGAGATTAGATATTACATAGCCGTCCAACACTCTTTTCTTTTTTTCTAAGGACACTCGTCAGTATAACCACATCTCTGTCGCTTCAAGTCTCTTCTTCATCTATGAGGAGATTATCCAGCATTCACTGCCATATAGGAGATTAGATATTACATAGCCGTCCAACACTCTTTTCTTTGTTTCAAACGAAATTTTGCAGTTACTTCATTGTTGGCTTAGCATTTTCGGAAATGTAAAAATGTGGTTATATACACAATTATAAGTTTATAAAATTGTTTACTTAGCTTAACTGTATTTTAATTCCGGTGTTTTCACTTTTAGAATCAATGTTAAATTGAGTGCAATTTGCGCGCATATAGATGAACAAAGAAGGGAAAAACTCATTAACGTATTTCGTAGGCAGCATTAATATTTAATATAGGAAACAAAGCAAAAGCAAAAATTCCAAATTCTAGAGGCTGGTGGAATAAAAGAAAAGTACCCTTCATTAAATAAGTTGTCTTTCTGCAGGGAGGGTGGTGGTACCGTATATTGTAGTGTGTTTAAATAAATAATAACAAAAAAAATCATTTAAATGGGTTTGAGTGATTTGAAATTGGTTCTATCAAATGTGAGAACGCATGAATTAAAAAAAAAAACAACAACAACAAAAAAAAAAAACGACAAACACCTGTGTAAATATATCCGGAACAATCCTTAAAAGCGAATGGCTCAACATTTGAACGTACTCGGGAAGAAAATAATATGAAATTAAAATAAATATGAATTTTGGCAAATTTACCGATAATACAAAATAAATAACTAAATAACTAGGAATTTTAAAAAATGAAATCAAAAATTGTACATCTGTTGTCCATATCTATCTATCTATCTATCTATCTATATATATATATATATATGATATAAATATAAGTAATTATACTCGTCTGGAAAAACCTTAGGTGTTTTGGCTTGTAAATGAACAAACCAATGCCCAACGAAAAATAAGGAATAAAAAAAGAAAGAACCAAGAACATGTAATTCAGGTGAAAACAATCGTCCAGAATTCAAGTCTAAAGAAAAAAAAACCCTCCAAAACGAGTAAAGCAAAAATAACTAAGTAAAGTGCTCAATACACTAAGTAGAGCAAACCTATGAACCTAAAGAGCCTGGCTCTAGGTTCATAGTTAATAAGTCACTTATAATCCATCGATCAAACGTAAGGCATAAGTGACTTTTTTCCATTTTGCACTCTTTTTGGAACTTAATTTATTTACAATTTAAAATCTGTTTGAATCGTTTTCCAATTTCCCCCCACTCAATCGTTATTTATTAATGCATCTTGGATTGTTCCTTACTTCACAAACGATTACATTTTGAAAAAAAAAAAAAATTGGCCGAAACGTTCCTAAAGGTAAAATAATGATGTCCACTTTATTTAAATCTATTTTCTATTTCTGTTGGCCCAAATCTTTATACATAATATACATACATACATACATACATATATATATATATATATATATATATATATATATATATATATTAAGTAGATGGTGCTATGTTGTAGAGAATGTATATTACTGACCCCTTTAAACAATTCCATTTGTTCAGAACTTAGAATTTACAGATCTCTCGACGCTAAAATCCATCCATCCATACATATATATATATATATATATATATATATATATATATATATATATATATATGTGTGTGTGTGTGTGTGTGTGTGTGTGTGTGTGTGTGTGTGTGTGTGTGTGTGTGTGTGTGTGTAAAATATATGGAAAAAATATGGAAAAGAAAGAACTCGTTAGGTAAATAATTTCAAAGTTCTTTAGTATTTTTTTATTATTTAAAAAAAATAGTGCTCGATACAAAAGTAGAGCATGAATATAATTATTTATTTAAAAATATGATTCCAACGCTACATAAGAGTTCTCATGTTTCAAAACATGTTTTGAAACATGATGTAACGATGGATATATATATATATATATATATATATATATATATAGATAGATAGATAGATAGATAGATAGATAGATAGATAGATGTGTGTGTGCTTGTTATATATCTATGTGTATATATGTGTTCGTGTCGGAAAAATCTTCGTAGGAAATATATATATATATATATATATATATGTGTGTGTGTGTGTGTGTCTGTGTGTGTGTGTGTGTGTCTCTGTATGTGTGTGTATGTGTGTGTGATGAAATATAGTTTTAAGGTATGCTGCATTTAAGGGTTAAATTGTCCATTATCAAGGGATGGAGCGTATGTAAATATAAAAGAGGATATTGAATTCAACACCCAGAGGGAGGCGATAATCTGTTTCACCTATGTGGCCTAGATGTAGACTTTAACATCTATTAATACATATATATATATATATATATATATATATATATATATACACACACACATATATATATATATATATATATATATATATATATATATATATATATATATATACATATATACAGTAGCGTCCAAAACTAAGGGACAAAATTTTAAAACCTAATATTTGTTAGAAATAACAACTGTGAAAAGCTGAAATTTTGACAACTGGTAGTCGTTATCATCCATAATAACATACTAAAATTTGAATCATTTGCAAAGGATAGAAAAAGAATTATAACAATTATTTATTCATTTTCAAATTTGGAACGTCCAAAAGTAAGGGACCAAATTGAGAAAACATACCGCAGTATATCTTCCACCAAAACAATCACCATAATGCCTCAGAGTCTCTATGAAGTCCTAACTAGTTCTCTTCTGTGTGTGTGTGTGGGGGGGGAAATAAGAATACCAATAGTTATGTGGCATGCGTCATACACGCTTGGGTGATCATGTATTTATCCATAGCTGGGGAAGAAGAGGATTCATAACTTTCTCAAGAGTATTAGCATTTAAGTGAATATAATAGATTCGACAGAATGTCAGTTAGTCATTTAGGCGATTATGTATCTTTCGATACATGACTGATGAGGCAGATTTTTTCCCACAGTAGGTTGCCATTTCTTTCTGTGGTAGACCAGTTGCCATCCAAGGTTATAGAACCCGTTCTGTCCTGCTATTTGCCCAGGAGAAGAAGACGATTCATACCTTTCCTATTAACACGTAAGTGAATGTAATGGATTCGACTTGAATTCGAACTCGGTTCTCCGATTCCTCAATCCAAGGCGCTATCCATTATTCCACCGTGCCTACATTGATATAGATATTTATATTAGGATATTACACTGAAAAATATTACTTTGATAGATTGGATAGAATAGAGATAAATAGATAGATAGATATGATAATAGACTGATAGATAGATAGATCTGAATAGATAAGATAGATAGATAGATATGAATCTAAATAGATAGATAGATAGATAGATAGATAGATAGATAGATAGATCTGAATAGAGATAGATAGATAGAATGAATAGATAAGATAGATAGATAGATAGATAGATAGATAGATAGATAGATAGATAGATAGATCTGAATAGACTAAGATAATAGACTGATAGATGAATAGATAAGATAGATAGATAGATAGATAGATAGATATGAATAGACTGAGGAATAAAAATATGAATAGACTGAGGTAGATAGATAGATAGATAGAAGATAGATGTTTAGATACCGCTATGAATAGACTGAGATAGATAGATGATAGATTAGAATAGATAGATAGATAGATAAAGATGATGAACGGTGACCTGGGAATTAAATTTTGTTTGCATACCGCTCGTTCCTATGTGATTTTAGAAAGTCTAAACATGCTGACGGTGGCTTAAGGCATTCGAAATTGATATTACAATGGACTAAAAAGAGTGTGGTGTGAAGTCCAGCCACATTTGCGACGCCAAAATAAACAAAAATCTCTCGGTAAAGGAGCCGAGAACAACATCTCCCGTATAAAACATAATCTCTTTATTTCTTCGTTATCATGTCTTCGTTAAATTCCACGAGACTGCATTACCTTGTTTATTTATTCTATCCATTTTTAACATTTTAAGGCCTCGATATTTCTTGTACGTCTATTTCTATGTAATCTCTCATAGCATCCGAAGATATCTATCTATCTATCTATCTAAGTTCAATCAAACACACACATATATGTCTTTTTCTTTCTTGGTTGTTTTAAATATATCTAAGTTTATAATTAAGCCACTTTATCTATCTATCTATCTGTTTCAGTTTGTTAATATCTATCTATTTCACTTCATTCATTCATTCATTCATTCATTCACACACACATATATATATATATATGTTAAGAAATGGACAAGGTCCGACAATTTATTTATTAAAGACATTTTTTTTTTTTTATGTTTAACGTTGTTATTTTATAGATAGATGTATTTAAGCAAATGCTCTGTTTATGATAAACAGTATTAAATAACATTTACCGTAAACAAATGACGTCATATGTTAAGAAATGGACAAGGTCCGACAATTTATTTATTAAAAAATGTCTTTAATGTTTACATTCGATACGCCAGAGCAGTTATGAATGTACGAGATTCATGGAAGATTGGAGTTTATAATCAGTAAATTCGACCTTGTCTACCGTTTGGTTCTTTGTAGCCTAGAGGTAAGGCACGTCAGCGTATATGACGGTTCCGTATAGGATGCAGGTTCGAATCCTGTCAAAGAACGAATATTTTCTATGAAAATTTCTCGGACATTCAGGCCGGTAAATGTTATTTAATACTGTTTATCATAAACAGAGCATTTGCTTAAATACTTGTATCTATAAAATAACAACGTTAAACATAAAAAAAAAAAAATTGTCTTTAATAAATAAATAATATATATATATATACACACGTTTATGTTTCTCTTTTAGTTGTTTCTAATATATCTAAGTTTATAATTAAGTCAGTTTATCTATCTATCTATCTATCTCAGTCTGTTTATATCTATAAATCTATCTATCTACAGTAAACGACGAAATTATTCGTATACCCATCAATTTTGAGTATGAGGCTAGGTTTTTATACCTTATTAAGCACAAAAAAATGAATATAAAACTCAATTTTCAGAACAATAGGTTAAATACGATAAACTTGACAGAAGAATTATGCAAAATAGGAAAAGACAATATTATTCGTAGAGTAGAAAATAGTGTTTAAATTAATTGATTCGTGCAAATATATGTAATTATAAAGATGAGAGACCATGTTATTGACTATTAATATTATGAACATTTTTAAATTTGTTCTATTTTTCATACTACAGAAATAATTTTGTCATTTTTCATAAATAATTCTTTTCATCAAATTTGTTTTATTTAAATTATTTTTTGAAAATTGAGTCTTTATATTCCTTTTTGGTTATTAAGAATAAAAAACCTGCATTAAAAATTTAAATTCTGAGAAATGGATAAAAATACTCAATTTAATATATTTGCATTGTTCAAAATTTCGTCGTTGATTGTAGATAGATATGACTTGCAGGACTACAAGATATGTAAACATTATTCAATGCACGGATGAATGGTAGGTCTGCAAAGTTGTAAGATCGACTCTGACGTGGAAAGCCTTCTGGCACGACACAGTGACCCAACTTTCCTTGCAGTAGATGCAGCTATTGATTCAGTGTAGTCATTCCACTTCAAATCAGCTGAAAACGTGAAGTCAAGAAGACAAAGATTTTTATTGCTGGTAATGAATTTTTCAAAAATGCGGCCATATTAATTATATATATTTTTTAGACAAAAATTTATTCTAAAAAGCGATAAGAGCAGTTTCAAAAATGGATTGACCGTAGATTTAGGGATAAAGCTAACCGGTTTGAAATTTTTTCTATAACATTTTTCCTGGTAATGGATTTTTTAAAAAATCTATTATAGGTCTAAATTCAACGCTATATATCGTTGTCTTCTCCATCGTGTTGTTAAATTATTAAGAATAACAATGGTGACACTAAAATGTGAATTGTATGATGTTCATTGCTGGGATTACCAAACAAATATTCAAACGAATCAAAAATAGTGGATAGACGGCATCACCGATAAAATATTTATATTTAAATTAGTTATTTTTTGGTCACGAATCAATCAATTTTTAGGCCAAATATTTTCTACTGTAGGGATATTTTGACAATATACTTTGCAATAATTCGAAATGTCAAATTTGTTTTATTTAGCATATTGTTCCCAAAATTGAGTTTTCAAATTTTTTTTTGTGCTTATTAACATATATAAAAAACCTGGTATCATCCGGGCATTAGATTCTGAGAAATGGATAAAAAATTCAATATTGATATATACGAATAATGTCTTGCTGGACTATAATTATGACAACATTATTCAATGCACGCATGAATGGTAGATTTGCAACTGTTTAAGATCGACTCTGACGCGGCAAACCTTCTGGCTTGGAATAAAACTAACTTTCCTTGCAGTAGATGCAGCTCTTGATTCAATGGTCATTCCACTTCAATTCAGTTGAAAATGTAATCACAACAAGAAGACGCAGTGTATTATTTATATGTGTCTAGCATCGACCATATATGATGGCGGGCATAATTTTTCACTATTGTTAAATTAGAAATATTTTCGTTTTTTGAAAAAATTTTATATTCCTTTCTTTGTGTTAACATATTAAAAATTGGATAATCATACGGGCATTACGTTTTGAAGAAATGGATAAAAATATCAAAAACTGAACGCTTGAACTAAAATTTCGTTTAATTTCTATTTTTTTCAATGCAATTTAAATGGGATTACTCGAAATCAATTTAAACCTTATTGAATTTTCAGTTTCAGAATAAAATTTTATATATATTATCGAAAAATTCCAAAAGACGGATCATAAATTATATCAATCTATGAAGAGGGATGATTTTCAGAAATACGCTCGACCAGCGCCCAAAAATAAAATTTATTTTTTTCCATAAATATTTGTACGGAAATGAAGAAACTATCCTCGGTAATTGACCGCGTGAATTTAAGTTTACTACTAGATATTTGTTAATCTTTATTTTTTTGCGGTACTGCTGAACGAAGAAGATGTTTCCCTATTTATAAAAATTAGAGCATATTTTTTTGAAGGCATTTAAAATTTAGATATATTATATTTACTAATTAATACGAATTAGAGATCCTTTACAAAGGCAGCGGCCAGGGTTTGTTTCACTATTTTTTTATGAGACTGGTAGAATCATTCACCAGCATAAATGCCTACTTGAGAACTGATGACATCAGGAAGACCATTAAGGAAGATCAGAAACGGTGAAGCACTTTGGGGTGGGGGGACACCGCGTTTATGTGAAAGGATCTTGAAGCGAGTCTCTTCAAAACGACCTTCATTTCACGATTTGATAGGAACAATTGGATTAAAACAAAAATCGTTCAGTCTAGAATCAAACCGTAGCCCTGGAGTTAATTTAATCTGACCAGCGTGCCAAATTATGTCAAACCTCTTCGTGATATCTAGAGCTACAGATCGAGCTTTATATATTATTATCAACATACGATATACACATTCATTACATCAGCAGTAGGTTTGGCAAAATAGGAGCTTTATATTTGTTTTTCATTAATAGGTCGTGAGAATAAGTCAATTTAATTTCGACCTGGAAGAATTAAAATTTACGTTATTTTCCATCGGTAGAACAGTTTTTCGATTGTTGGTCCTTTTGATTGTTGCAGTTTAGGTTATCTTTTCGTTATTCTGATGGATTTTCTATTCAGATAGGATTATTTAAGTTTTATCATCTGCAGAAATGCCTACTTTGCAAACTGATAAAAATCGGAAATCATTTTGAAGATCAAAAATATAATAGGATTAGAATAGAAGCCTTTGGTAATATCCGTAAAATGAAATTATCAAAAAAAATGCTTCCTTCAAAAATTCTGTTATAATTCTGTTGGCTATCGTTTGTTCATATTTTTTCAGTCAGTTCATTTTATCGGTGGTTTGTTTTTTTATTAGACATTTTCTATTTATCTATCTATCTATCTATCTATCTATCTATGCTTATTCTTTTATTTTTTTTACATATGCATATATGTATGTATCTACATACAATAAATCCCACCAAACTCGATGAAAACTTATTCGTCGTTCTCATATAGTAAAGTCTAAAAATAAATGAGGCATTAATAATAAAAAAGAAAAAGCCAACATTAAATAAAGTCATCTATGACATGGTCAAAATGTGCTGACCTTATTTGGAGAATAAAAAAAAATTCCCATAACTCTAGATACGTACATAAAAACATTTCCGTTAAAAAGAAAAACAAAAATCATCCCTGACAATGGCTAAAATTTATTGCCGGAAACAAAATTAATTATATTGAACAATTTTTTTTCTCTCTTTTATATATATATATATATATATATATATATATATATATATATATAATTAACGGAAATACATAGACAATTCCGACAAATTTTAAAATATTTTTATGTTTGACAAAACATTATTTTTTAACTGAAAAATTTTTAAGTAAATGCTCTGTTTTTTAATAAATAGTATTAAACAATATTTACCGGCCTGAATAAATATATAAATTTCACAGAAAATATTCGTCCTAATCATGACAAATTCGAAGAATGTATCCTTTCGAACCGTCATTTAACTTGATGTGCCTTATATACCGATTAATAGACAGAACAAAATTTTGTTAGCAAGGTTGAATTTACTGTATTTAAATTTTAATCTTCTAGTCTTGATAACAAATTAAATTCGACCATGTTCAATTCTGAATTTATATATATATATATATATATATATATATATATATATATATATATATATATATATATATATATATATGATATATGCATATTATATATATATAAATAATTAATATATAACAAATATATATATATATATATATATCAATATATATATATATATATATATAATTATTTATTTAAAAAATTATAACAT